GGAGTCGAACCGCGACAGTGCAGGACGGTAGCTTGACACGCTAACCACTCAGCTACACTGCAACGACCACCTTCTGGGTCACAGGGCAAAGGTGAATTTTCAAGGAAAGCCAGGCCTTTTTGCCATAGCATATGCTTTTTTTTATGGAATTGTCAATGAAGCAAATGCATGTTTTGCTATAAAAATCGACTACTATTCTTTATTTTTCGAATTAAGTATTATTTTTCGTGACTACCGGTAAATCAATTATAAGATGTATTCACCTAATTGCTTGAAAATGCACATTTGCCTTGTGACCCAAAAGACGCTCGTGGCAGTGTAGCCAAGTGGTTGTCGCGTTATGCTCTCATCCTGCACTGTCGCGGTTCGATTCCCGCTGAGGGTGTTGATAAGATCAATGCGAGCTCGAAACTGCAGTTCACTCCGTCCGGGATGAGATCAACTTTTGGCCACGTTAAATTGAATGTAAATGTCAGCTTTACTCGTATCATTTTGGGAAAATTATTCTTCTACCGGTCCTTCATCACTTTACACGAAATTGGGTTAATAAATCTCATTTAACGCAGTCGAAGGTATAATAGATGAGTTCTTATTTATGCGCTATTGGAAACTCGGAGAGCTACTCACTCGGGATATAAGTAGTCCGTTTGATTAAATGGCATTTTGGGAAATGTCAACTGTCAGTCGTTTAATACTGAACACAGCCAATGGTGAATGCGGCCCCTTAACTGACTGAAGGGTGGTTAGCGTGTCAAGCTCCCATCCTTCACTGACGCAGTTCGACTCCCACCGAGGGTGTTGGCAATACCGATGCGAGGTTAAAAATGCAGAATAACTTTTTGGAAAGCTAGGCTATGTTAAATTAAATGTAAATGTCGGCTTTACTCTTATCATTGTGGGAAAATTCTTCTTCTACCACTTATCCATCACCTTACACGAAATTGGGTGAATACATCTCATTTAACGCAGTCGAAGTTATAATAGATGAGCTCTTATTTATGCGTTATTGGAAACTCGGATAGCTACTCACTCGGGATATAAGTAGTGCGTTTGATTAAATGGCATTTTAATGAATGTCGACTGTGATTCCGACGGTGAATGGGGCGCTTCAACTGGACGAATCGATTGGCGAATGTCGAAAAGCCAGTTGAAATGGACGCAACTGCGGTGCCACGTGGCTCCGACGCGCGACTGACATGAGCGGTGAGATGGTTGCGGACGAAACGGCGACGGCGACGGCGACGGCGACGGCAACGGCAACGGCAACGTCGAAGCGAGCCAAGATCGATCTGGCCAGCGTGTACGGCCAGGCGAAGCCGCCGGTGGTGCCGCATTGTCTGCGCGTGTGCGTGGACGAGTTGGTGGAGCGCAGTCGCCGGCAACAGTTGCACGTGTTGCCGGCGGCGCTGATGGCGCTGGTGGAGAACGCCGCTGTCGTCTCCGAGGCGGGTGGGTCGGCGGAGCAGTTGGACGAGTTGCTGGACGCGTTGACGTCGTCCGATGCGTCGTCGTCGTCGACGGAGCGAGCCGAGCCGACGCACTGCGTCGACCAACCGTCGCATCTGCTGCTGGCCGTGTTGTTCGCCTTCGTCCGCCTCGTCGACCACGGCCTCGCCGTGCCCCTCGTCTACCCGGCCGCCGGTTGGCTGCTCTTCGGGCCGCCCAGTTGCCCCGACCAGGCGCGCCTTGACGACAAGCGCTTCTTCTCCGAGATCGAGGTCTACCTCAACGAGTTGACGGCCGTCGAGCCGATCCGCTACGACTGCTTCTGCCACGTCATGTTGATGCTGTCGACGTTGGCCAACCTCGTCGCCGACAGCACTCGCGGCGAGCCGGCCGTCGCCATGTTGACCAACCACATTCTCGCGGACACCTTCGCGCCCATCTGCCTGTCGGTGCGTTGTCGCGACTGCGGCGACGAGATCACGGCCACGGCGACACGGCCCGGTTGTCGGTTGTGCGTCGACGTCGGTCGACATTTGCCCGCGCCCTACGGCAGAGACGTGCTCTATCGCCTTTTGAAGTTCGTGCCGTCGGCGTTCTGGCAGACGCGGATACTGTCGCCGCGCTGTTGCAATCTCATCAAACGCGATCCGGACGATCTGCTCGCCGAGATCCGGCTCCATCTGACCCGGCTCGACGCGACTCCGGCGCTGGCGGCCGACCTGTTCGAAGGCAAGACCAGACAACTACGCGTCGACGCCAAACCCGACGCCCAAGTCGACGCCGACGTCGACGGCGAGGGCGAGGGCAAGGGCGAGGGCGAGGTGGGGGTAGAGCGAGCGGAAGAGGTGGAAATGGTGTTGCCCATTGGCAGACCGGGTTTGTCGTTGCTGAGACGACGCGCGTCGTCGAGCGGCGGCAGCGTCGACGACGTCGACGAGGGCAAGGCGACTGGGCGGGGCAGGAGGCGCGTTGAAATGGGCGAACGAGGCGCGACGGAGCAGAAGAGTCGGCGACGCGTGAAGGAGACGGCGGGTGGGCGGAAGGCGAGTCGTCGGAGAAGAGGA